CTAATTGCAGAGGGTGCATATGCCCCTGAGAGCAGCAAGCACCCCATGGTACATACTCATGCTGTGGTCCTAGCTCTCCATCCCATAAGAATCCTAAAAAACAAGCACTTATTTTATTTATTATTATTTTAAAATTTTAACCAGAGAAAGAGAGAAAGAGAAAATGAGAAAGCAAGCCACCAGATCTAAGACTTGAACTGTGACTGGCTATGGAAGAGTCCAGTGCCTTAACCACCATGCCGCCTGCCAGCTCCCCCACCACTTTTTTTCAGTTTTTGCTATAGGGCCTATGTGTTCACTGGAGCAAGAGCGAGCGAGCGAGCGAGCGAGAGAGAGATCCCCGGGGGACAGCCAAGCTGTAATGCCCACCCCTCCATTCTCCTCGGGAGATCTTGAACACACATGCACACACACCCGGTGTAATTTTCACACTGCCAGGTCCAGGCCTTGAATAGGGGAGATGGCCAGTGAGAGCCAGTACCTTCACCTCTGTACCACCTGGTGACCTCGTCCTGTAGGGATCTGAGGCACACACATGCACTGGGCAAGTTTTTTAGGCCACTGGGGCTGGGATTTGAACCAGTTGCCCATGTGGAATCTGGTTCCTTACGCACATGCTTAGCCCTCTCCTACAGGGCTGGCCCTGCAAATGCTTCTTTTCTTTTTTAAAAAATAATTATTTTATTTAACTAACTTTATTTATTATTTTCTAGCTTGCTGGGGAGGGAGAAAGCAAGCCACCAGGTCCGGGACTCGAGCCACAGTCAGCCATGTGAGAGTCCAGTGCCTTTAACCACACCACTTGCTGGCTCTTCAAATGCTTTTTATAAAAAGAGATGAAGGCTGAAGTGAGTGATACCCTTTTTCCTAAAAGGTTCCCTTGCTACATTGGTCACACTTCCGATGACACCCCATCCTGTCACTGTGCCTCTAGCCACAGGTCTCTTTCTTGGACCTGCCATGGGCACAGCCCTCCCTCGGGAGGAGCATTCCTTCTCTGGCGTGTGTACACGGCCCATAGAAAAAACTAGAAAAAATCCCAAACAACCCCTCTGCCAGAAAAGCAGACACAAAATCAGACAAATTCCCACCGAGTTGCCCGTGCCCCCTGGATCCCAGGCTGGGGACTGGGGATGAGCCCAGCCACAGAAGCTCTGGGCCTGAGTGGGCCTGGCTCAGCATGCTCCTGCAGGGGCGATGTGCCCACGTCTAGAAAGACGGGCCAGCCTGCTGTGGGAGCCAAGACACAGGCTCCAGCCATCCGGGAGCAGCAGGTGGCCGGGGACAGGCTGGAGGCGGTGGGCCCCATGCATCCTGGTGTCAGCAGTAGCCCTCAGCCTTGCTGCATGCTGTGGGCACAAAGACTAAGTAGAACACCCTCCCAGGGGGTGACAAGCTAAGGAGACACCTGCTAGGCATGGTCCCTGCCTGCCCAGCCAGGAGAGGGCTGGGGGGACCATGCCCGGGGCTGTGGTCTAGGGCGAGGATGACACAGGGTCACCACAGGCCCTGTGTGCTGCCTGACAGAGATGCTCAGAGTGCCAGGGACACCCAGTATGGAGGAGGCAGCGGGCACGCGGGGGTTGTGTGCGAGGGCGTGCTGGGTGGCTGGGCTCACAAGACACCCACGTAGGGGCACCAGGTGGGCAGCACGGAGCTGCGAGGGGGTGGGCAGCACCCCAGAGCAGGAAGGGGGGGACCGAGAAGCTGGAAGGACATCAGGCAGCGGGGCAGGGGAACGGACCTGAAGCAGAGGTTCGGCTGCGGGCAGGGGAGGCAGCCTCAGCAGGCCCATGCCTCCCTCCTGTTGGAAATCACCTTCGGTTATGTCTGAGTTACTCTCAAGGGGCCCAGTCCCCTAACCTGCCCCGAGGAGAGGGGAACCACTCAATCCCCGGAAACCTCAGATGCAGACAGCTTCGGGGTACTGCTGAGAACCCTGGGCTGACCTGGGGCGTGGATGCTCCTCGCTCCCACCCTTCTCAGGCGTCATCCTGGGACCAGGCAGCAGACAGGATCACCGACCGGCCTGGTGCCCACCAGCCACGCCCATTCCTTCTGGAACTGCCTCCTTGTACCTACGGGTCCTTGGTGCTGAGCTCAGCCCAGCAGATAAGACAAGACACCCAGCAATCCAGTCCGGAAGCAGAGGCTGCACTTGGGGGAGCTGGTGGGGGTCCCAGAAGCCTTGGGGTGATGACACCAGGCTGGGGGTTGGAGGACGAGGAGGGGTGGGTGGCCTTCCGGGTGGAGAACTCGGCACACACAGGCATGAAGCGGAGACAGGCTGCGATCATTCCATGATAAGAGCTAACTTTCCCGGGAGCGGCCCCAAAGTGGGAAGAGGGCACATCTAAAGTGGGAAAAAACCTTTGCCCCACAGGAGGGTCCCAACCTCATCCCGCAGGTGACAGGCACAGCCAGAGCGCGGGGGCCAGGACGAACGAGCTTTCATTCCAGAAAGAGCTGTGTGGTGAGGGCTGCAGGGAGCATGCAGGGCCAGGGGCAGGACAATGAGCAGCAGGTGGCGAGGGCTGCAGGGAGCATGCGGGCCAGGGGCAGGACAATGAGCAGCAGGCTGCCTGCACGGCAGGGTGGCAGCTCACGTGGGCACGTGCTGAGGACGCCCCTCTGCAGAGCTGACACCCTGCAGTGCCTGACGAGGCCCTCAGCTGCACCACGGCAGGAGGGACCGTCACCCACAGACCACAGGTCTCCCGCCCCCCTGCTGTGCCACGGCCTCTGACCCTGCACCTCCCCTGCCTCTCCTCTTGCCCGAGAACGTGTTTGGTGCAGTCACCCTGGCATGGCCCCACCCTTTCCTCCTCCAAGCCAGATGGCAGCTGGGCGCCCCCGACCCTGCCTTCCCTCCCCTATTTTCTGGGCTGCTGCCCCAGAGGGCCCCGCAGGCAGCCTGGCTCGAAGCTCTCTGGCCTTTCACCTTTAACCCTGTACCTTCCTACCTCTTATCCACATCCTGGTCACCCCAGGAGCCTCCCCACCCAGAGGTGGCACATCCATGAACCCCTCTTCTTGCAGTCCCTTCCCAGAGCTCCTCACGTGAGCTGTGACCCCCTCAGCTTTGCTCCCTGGTCAGCTCAGCTGAGAGGAGCCACACAGCACCCCGGGCCGCAGCCCCTGGACAAACTGCCTGCAGAAGCGGCCTCGCAGGCGGGCCATGCGGGGAGGGCAGTGGCGGCACCCTGCTCTCGGCGAAGTGCCAGCAGCCCTCTCATGCTGGGGCACAAGCTCCAGTGCTTCTCCCATGCTCCCCAGACAGGGGCTGCCTGGCAGTGGGAGCAGCTCCTCCCCTGGCCCTGTGCTTCATCACACCCCTTCCACCACCGTGGGCCTGGCCCAGGGCCCCCTCCTGGGTCCTGGGTCTCGGCTCTAGACATGGGGATCCAGGCTTTAGCACTCCCTCTCTGCTATCAGGCAGGTCTCCCCAGCAACCCAGAGAGCCTGAGGGGCCCCAGCCCGGCCTCTGCTTTCTCCCAGCCGAGTGCACTCCTGGCAAGAGCAGGCACACTGCTCTGCCCTCTGCCCTCCCACCTTCGCGCCCGCGGGCCCGGCCGCCAAGCCTAACGGACACCTTATCTCACTCGCCTCCCTGGAGCGCCAGGCCGACGCCATCCCACCTCCTCCAGGTCAGTGTCACTTTCACAGGAGCCCATGCTCCACACAGCCCAGACCCCCGGGAGCGCCCGCCTGTACGCCACTGAGTTCCAGGTGGCTCCTAACTCCCACAACCTGCACGCTCCACGCGGCTGTGACCGGGATGAGAATCTAATTCCAAAGGCCAAGCAGTGCCAGGGAGCCCAGCCCCCTCCGGGCAATGGCTTTCCTCAGGCACCCTCACAGCCCGGGAGGCGAGCCGTGCTGGCGGCAACCCTGGAGCAGAGCTGAGCAAGTTTTCAAGAGGCGCCCACGTGGGGCGTTCCGCAGCAACTCCAGGTAGCTGCTGACAGGAACTTGATAGTGGGCCTTTGCTGTGGCACACAATGGAGAGCGCGTGCCAGGGACAACAGGTGTAGCCATTAGCGAGCTGTCACAGCACCACCGCCAGCTGGCCCGCCTGCCCGCCGCCTGTCCGCTGGAGTCTCAATGCAGGTCTTCGCTGGGGCGCCCGAGCCGGCCACATGGGCCCTGCAAAGGCAGCCCGGGTCTCAACCTTGCCTAGCCATGCAAGAAGGCCTCCCAGCCAGGGTGCGCCACCCACGGGGCCTAGCTTCGGAATGGAGCTCCCGCAGCAGCAGGGAGAACACCCCTGCCCCCGGGCACAGGTGAGAACCCCAGGAAGAATTCGGCAGCAGCAGCTCTGGAATTTTGACTGGCCTGAGTTCCAAGCAAGGTGGCCGTGACAGGTGCCCTCCGGAAGGCCAGGCACACAGGTCAGGACAAGAACGTTCAGACGTGATCAGAGTGCGGGCGGCAAGGAGGTGTGCAGGCTAATCATCTTAGCAGGCGTCAGACGCTCCTGAGTGCGGCTGCGCCGGGGCTGCCGCGCCGGGGCCGCCGTGGAGGCAGGTCGCTGGTTCCCCAGGAGCTGGCTCAGCACAGGTGGCAGGACGGAGCACGGGTGTGAGTCCTGGCCCACGAGGTGTGAGGGGCAGCATGCAGAGGGACCAGCCCACACACAGCAGAGTGCCCAGGTCCAGGAGCCAGTGAGCTCAGACGCAGGGTTTGCGGGTCGGCCTTGGGGGCTCCACGGTGCCCTAAGCCTGAGACCCAGGACGGGGATGGGCAGAGCTACAGAGGAAGGACAGTGCTCCCTGTGTGCTGGGATGGGACGGATGCCAGGCAGGAGCAGCTCATTTCCTCATCGGGAATTACCAAGGAGGCCTGGACGGCCCTGCCAGGGGTCACGGAGGGCCATGGGGAGGACAAAGGGCTCGGGCAGAGGCTGGAGGGAGGGGGAAGGGCACTTCCCCCATGGCCCAGGCACTGAGCTACACTCGGAAGGCAGTGCCTGGAGGGGCCTCCAGCAAATTGTAGCGACCAGCAGACACAGTTTCAGGGCGTGGGGAACAGGTGGAGGCGGGAGCCCATCACCGCTCACACGGATTGGTCCTCAGGGCTGACAGCCACCAGGGAAGAAGGAAACTGCTCCCAACTTACCCTGAGATAGGCCACTGTGGGGCTGGGGCTCCTGCGACATCCGCCTCGCCTCCCCCTCCCCTCGCCCACATGGCCCTCATGTGGTAGAAAGATCAGGGTCCCAGCTTCCTCAGCAGACCTTCCCAGCTGCCGCTGGTGCTGACGCCCCCACAGAAACAGGCCTGGGAGACCCTGAGGGTCTGCCACCTCGGGGCTCGTGTCCCAGCAGGCTTTTCCTCTAGAGTTCTGAGAGTGAGCTAGCCCTCAGGACCAGGCTCGGTCTAGAGGCAAGTGGGGTGCAGTGAGATCAGCGACACCCAATCTGGAGGTTCCCCGAAAGGCAGACAGGGAGGCCCGTAGGAGCCAGGCCCGTGTTGGGTCTGCGACACCGCACCCTCCTCCAGCAAGCACCAGGCTCTGCGACGGCAGCCGGCCCATGCCCGGCAGGCCCCGGGCCTCCTGTGACCTCGTCTGCGCTGTGGCAGAGCAGGGCTGCAGGGCTGGGTCTTCTCTCTCGCTCTATACCCTTTCCCGGGAAGCCTCAGCCTACCCACACAGACCGTCCTGCACCAGATGGCACACGGGTCGGGGCGCCGGAGCCAGAGCCGTGCCTCCCTCCGCACGCCCGCCCCACCTGGGTCTAGTGCCACAGCGGCTAGTCGCTCAGTCTTGACCTTGAAGTCAGTCCCAAAGTCCCCTCCAGTCCGGCTCCTCGCACGCCGGCAGCCACCGGTCGTACACTCTCGCTCGCTTTTGGATCCTGCATCTCCTGGGGGTGCCCTGATACCACCCTGGCACACCCAGGCCTCCACCAGCCGTCCGGCCAGCACTGCCACTCACCCTTGGGGAACACAAACCCCAAACCCGAGGCCCGTCCTGCTTCTCGGTGCTCTCCGGCCTGTCTGCTGCCAGTCCAGCTCCCCACGGTGGGAGGTGAGACCAAATCCTGGCCACCTCACGCACTCTGCCCCTGTCCCCAGAAGGCTGTCTCCTGCACTCGGCCTGGTCACATCCGGCCACCCTTTGCAGCGAGGCTCCCAGCCTCCTGAGAGCCTGGCCCCGGGTGCCCACGCCTGCCCGCCTCCTCTGCACTGGGCACTCCTGGGGGCCGTGGCCGATCTTGGTCAACGGTAGGCCCAGGCCCAGTGGCCAGTGACCGCGAGGGTGGAGGAGACCATGGCCGCGGGGCTCCCTGGATACTATCTCCCCTCGGAGGTGACTTTTAGACGGCCACGTCCAGCGGAAAGGGCCTTTCCTCCACGCCGAATGGTCCCAGCTTGGAAATACGCCTCCCGGCCGGCCAGAGAACCCCCCAGCCCAAGGTCGCTGGACCCTGCTGGACAGTGCCACAGCTGTGGTCGGCCAGGGCCAGCAAGGCCCCAGGCACAGGTCACCCTCCCCTCAGGACAGCCACCACTTCAGCCCCGTCTGTGGTCCTGATGGCCGAACCACCACCGCGTTCAAACACAGACCCTCCGAGCGCACAGCGACCTCTGGGCACACTCAGGCTGGGCAACCGGCCAGACCAACCCAGTGGCACGAGCCCTGGTCCCGGGGAGGCGCCCGAGGCCTGGCTCCCCAGTAAGGACTCCACCCGCGGGGCACTGGACGGGCACCAGATGAGGCCCTGGCCTGGCTGGCCCACGGCTGAGAACAGGCAACCGCCCCTCACCTAGGGGGTTCTGCCAGCTGCCCTAGCACCAAAGGAAACTGCGGGCAGACATTCCAGGCAGTGGGGCGCGGGGGCAGACAGTGAGGAGGGCGCAGGCCCCTGGGTGGAGAAAACGCAGCCCGCCAAGTCGTGGGGTGGCTCTTTCCGCAGATCGCAGTCCCAGAGCACAGGGGACACAGGGCGAGCCTCCTCCCAGCGCCGGTCAGAGACAACCGCAGGGAGGCGCGGCCGGCGGCAC